AGGAGGGACGGGTCCTTGGAGAGGGACATCATAATGGGAGGGTTGAGGGACAACGCAGGAGGGGAAGACCCTCTATGAGATGGATTGATTTGGTGACTGGGGTAATCAGGATGGAGAGGCGGTGCGTTTGGCGCATGACAGAGCAGGGTTTAGGGCTGTTGTGCATAGGGTCGCTATGAGTCGGAAACGACTCGACGGCACATAACAACAACAACAACAACCCTTTTAGATACTTTAAATAGTTGAAAATGGCAGAAAACTTTGGTGACCTAGTGAGGAAGGAGTTCCACTTCCAACCCAAAGCCATGCAGTTGAAATCCACCAACCCTTGAGGGAGCAAGTTGGGCAATCTGCTCCTGTGGAATTTACAGCTTCTGTAAACCCGCTGGAGGCTCAGCTCCCAGTTGCTTCTGACTCAAGAGCAGTGAGTAAGACTTGTCACATGCAAACTCAAAACAATCTTTTGAAGGTCGGATGTACATGACATTAAAAAAAATGTATTCATGTTCAAGAAATTTGATTCCCAAACCCATGCTGCTACTTCTGTACCATATATCCTGGATTTTCATGAACTTAAATATCTATACATTTCTATATAAAATCCAATTTTGTTTTTCCTGGAAGTTTACTTTTGAAGTCTATTGTACAAAATACAAAGATATTTAAAAAACTGAAGTGAATAGAAAAAGATAGCCACCTTTAGTGAGACTTTAGTGCTAGGATGGAGTTTGTCACGAGGAGGACGAGTCTTATGACTCTGTGTTAGCCTTTGGCAAGGTGGTGGTTAGTTAATCCACACTGTGATGTCACAGAGAATTCCAAGAATCTTGCCTCCATGGGATCCAAGGGCAAGTTTTCTCCAAAAGAGTGTTAAGTGTTGATGGTGTTGATGGATCAGCTCTAGAAAGCATACAAATAGATTTGGTATTATTTACATTATCTGGTTTTTTAATAAAAAATAAGGAGATTTCTATTTTATAAATTTTTATAAGGGTAAAGAGAAACTCCTACATATGGAAATGATGGTGTAATACATAGGAAATTAATGTAAAAGTGAGGCTTCTCTGAGCTTCAAATCTGCCAGCATCTCCAGAGAAAGATGGGCACTTTCCAAGCACTTGATAGTCTTAAAAAAAAAAAAAAAGGCAGATGAAGGCACTAAGCTATGATAGTAAGTGTAGAAATGGATGCAGGGGGAGGGAAGGAATGATGTCCTCATTTCATTGTAATAAACAAGGAGCAGGAAGGGGGCAGCCAAATAGGTATCAATTTAGCTAACTCATGAATTTTTTTTTTTTTTTAATCGGTTAAATGGTTCTTTGGACCCGTTGTTGTTGTTGATGTTGTTATGTGCCATAAAGTTGCTTGCAACTCATAGCAATCCTGTGTACAACAGCTCTGAATTTAGCTGAATCCAGCTCTATCCTGTGCCAACCTTATTGTCTCTGACACATCTTCCCAAGTCACTGAATCAGTCCATGTCATGGAGGATCTTCCTCTCTTTCACTGTCCCACCCTTATAAGCATAATGTCTCTCTCCAAGGACTGGTCCCTCCTTGCAACATGCCCAAAGTATGTCAGACGAAGCTTCAGAATCCTTGCCTCCAAAGAGCAT